GCGCTGCCCTGCAGGACCCCGCGTCCAGGAAGAGGGGGAAGGGGCCTCCCGCTTCAGGCTACCCACCCCCTCAGAGCCCCCTTTTGCAGTCCCCACTCCCCCCAGCACCCCAAAACTCCCATCGGGGCAAGGGGAGGGGTGGCACACAGCGCTGCCCTAAGGGACCCAGGCCTGGGGGAGGGAGGAGGGGGTGGCCGAGGGGGGTCAGGGGGAGTTGGGGCACAATCCCCCTCCCCAAATTGCCAATTCCACCCCCCCTGCTGCCCCCCGAGGGGGAGGCAGGAGCAGACCCACTGCAGCACCACCATGGGCTGGAGCTGGTGACCCAGGGGGAGCCGGAGCAGGGCCAAGTGAAGGGGCACGGCAGGGGGGGCACTGGCACTGGGGGGTCAGTGACAGCAGGGAGGGGCACTGGGAGCTGGAGACAGAGGGGAGGGGAACTGGGAGCTGCTGGGTTTAGTGGAGCTGGTCCCACCCTGTGTCCACCCCAACCCCTGCCCTCCCCTGGTGGGGCTTGTGCCAGTGGGTGTGCAAAGGCCGGGGCTTGTGAAAAGGCTTGTGCGAGCTTTGGGGCTGGGGAGAGGCTCCTGCAACGGTTGGGACTTGTACAAGCGCGTGTGCAAAGGCCTGTGCAAAGTCTGGAGCTTGTGCAAAGGCCTGTGCGATGCTCAGGCTTGTACAAACACAGCTGCCATGTCTGGGGCTGGTGCAAATGCGGGTGCAACACTTGGGACTTGTGCAAAGCCCGGTGCAAGCCCTGGTACGTGTCCAAGAGCCCTGGGACACGGGAGAGCTGGGATACACTGTGAAGCACTGGGGGGCATTGGGATGAACTGCTGGGCTCTGGGCAGCTCTGGGGGGCACTGGGATGAACTGGGACAGACCAAGGGGCACTGGGAGTTTATTGGGTTATTAACAATATTAACAATATTCTCCTGTAATTCCTGACAGTGTCACAGAAAGAACCCTTCAGCTTTACCATCTGCACCTCCTTCTCTGGATTCACAAAGAAATCATATGGTAATTCCTAGTAATTATGAAAATTAATCAGAAAATAATACTGAAGAAAGTAACATTCACAGCTGAACAACAGAGTCAAATAAAGGAAGGAATGGAATAAGCAAAAAGTGCCTCAGCTCTCGGAAGTTGTTCCTACACATCATGCTTGTATACTAATCCTCTGAGAGATCAACATCAGAGGAATTCCAAATTCTCTTTCAATGTTATGTCTATGAGAGAACCCAAACCATTCCAATTCATAATGTAATGAATAACAAATTGATTCCACAGCATCATCCTGAGGAAGAAAAGAAAAAGAAAATTAAAAAGATTTCAAGCACTGAATATGATTTGAGGGAATAAAGATGTTTTGGGGTTTTTTTAATTGGAAAAAGAGGATAAAAGAAGCCTGGCACCAAACAGCTGAGAGAGCTTCTATATAACAGGGAGCACCACAAAGGCAGATGAACCAGGTCAGTATAAACCAGACAACTGTGTCTTCCCTTTGAGACAAGAACTACCACTATTCAGATTATTTCAATTTGAAAAAAAAAAAAAAAAAAAGACATTGCAAGTAACTAGTTAACAAGATAAATGAGGTGGGTTTTTTCTATTTTACTGTATGGTTTTTTCACAAGTCTTGATCTTCATACCAGTAAAGGACTAAACCAACAGCCCCAACACGCCTCCTGAAACCAAAGTCCTGCCTTCCAGCATGTCCAAGCTCCTCGCATCAATATTGTGAAAGGGATGAACCAAACTGGAAACAAAATTCTGGAAACAGGAAAAAACAGTCCCCTACCTTTCTTTTTACCATCTGTGACCATACTACGGCTGTTAGAAGCCAGCCCTGCGGTGAGCAGGAGGGTGGGATCCATTTCAAATTCCATGAACCTGTGCACGCTGAGATGGGATGTGTCCTGCAGGGCAGGCGGGCTGCAAACTTAGACAAAGGAAGAAAACCACCCAACCGCAAAGGTACAGAAAGCATTCTGACAAGGGAAGCAAAGCTGAACTGCCACCCGCGGCACGCAGAGCTGCGAGTCCCTCGCTCCTGGCAGCAGCTGAGTGCTTTCTTACTGTGGGACATTAGATCCTAAACCAAGTGCCACACAGCATTTGGCTGTGTGAACAATGAGCGTGTGGGATTCTTCCTGGGAAATGGCAGACACTTCCCTACAGCCCCCAGAGTGCAGCTCCACCACCAGGCTCTGCCCGGGATTCTCTGTGCCTGGCTGAGGGCAGCAGAACAGAAAAGCCAAGGGCTCAGCTCAGCGAAGGAGTCCCTGGCTCCAGCGCCAGCGCGTGCTCACCACACACAAACTCCACGCTCCCCGTTGCAGCTGTAAACCTGCACATTCTCCACCTCTGCACACAGTCCAGAGCACTGTGCCCTCTGGAACGGGGAGCAAAACTCCGCAGAGACGTTACAAAAGGAAGGATCCTGATGCTGAGCAGCTCAGGTTTGTCACGTCAGGCAGCGGGCAGCACAGCAGCAGGGGGCTGTGGAAGGCCTGTGGGCAGAGAGAACTCACTAGCCACAGGGAGTGCGGGACAGGAAAGCTCACAGACAGAGCCAGAGGGTGACAGCTTGTGTCCTTGTGCCCGGCTGAGAGAAGGCCGGGACACACGGCAGAGAACTGAAGTCAGGTGGTTTCCCATTGCTTGGGTTGCTTCTTGGCCAGAATGGAGCCGGGCAGACACACAGCTCCAGCACTTGGCTCCTGCGACTGTCTGCAAAGTCTCCCCAAGGCAGGATGGGGTGTACAGAGGGCCCCAAAACCCACACACGCTGCTGGTAGATTCACTTTCAGCCTTTTGCATTTTCCTTTACCTTCCCCACCGCCACTTCTGAAGCACCACAAGCACTGTGGAGTTGCTGCTTTATTTCCTTCACCATCACCACCACCCAGCGGCAACATTTTGTTCCAGTTCCAGCAGAGATCACACCTGGGCTGGGCAGCACCGACTGGCCGAGAGCACAGACACACCAAACCAGGGATCCCCCCCTGCCCGGGCAGCATCCGTCACCAGAAGCCACACACAACCATAGCGTCACTGCAGTCGGACAGGAGACCTGTATCCATCTGTCTGTGTCTCTGACACAGCAAACTGGACTGCACCAGCAAAGAGAGCAATCTCATCTTCATAAAGATTAGTCTTTTCCAAACAAGAAAAAGCATTGGATTATCTTCTTCCTGAGAGTAGAAAAATTAACATTCACCAGTTTACCTATCTCTACGCAGAGCATGGCAGAACTATGAATTATAATGCAATTATTTGGGGGGAAGAGAAGAAATATCCCTAAACACTTGCTATACATCTTTAACAGAAGAGATAGAAAGAACCGCAAAGCACAGGGCCAAGCTGAGTGCTCTAGCTAAGACAAAAATCTTCACATCCCTTCAATTGCTCACTAACTGTCCTCAGAGGGGTCTGTCCCCTCCTCAGAAACACAAACTTCCAGTCATTCGCCAATACAAAGTACTGACCTGAGTGAACCACAGGAATTCCCAGATTATTTCCCCAGGGCAAATGATATCTAGTAAGGAAGCTGCAGGTAATTTCCACAAGTTACAAGAAAGTTCCACCCTCCCTTTTGGCCACCTCGTAAGGGAGGAGAGGAGCAGTTTCTCTGGAGCAGAGGATCAAGGCTCTGCTTGTATTTATTTTCTGACAGGAACAAAATCTGCTAAGGGATGTAGAGCTCAAAAAAAATCATTTCTATAAAGTTGTACTTTCTCTCTACCTCGGGGATCACCCACACAAGAACACCCCATTGTTCTCTTTCACACACACTTTTGAGGCACTTGGGGCAGAGACAAACCCCTGCAGATGAGTAAAGCCTCAGCCTCTCCTGGAGCAGCTCAGATGCAGCACTCCTGCCATCCCGACCACTCTCAGCACAGGCCCCGAACAGCTCTTCACACAGCCCAGCAGAATTCCTACTTCTCCCTTCCCACACAGCCACCACAGATCCCCACCTCTGACTCCACTCACCCCCACACCACAAATTCTCTCATGCAGTCGGGGTCCAAAGAAGGGGCTGCAGAACCCTGGACCTTAAGTACTGTGAGAAGAGGCTGAGTAGGGCATAAATACACACCGCCTTTTCCACCTTCCGCTTCAAATTCACAACAAACCCACAAGAAGAGATCTCGACTCCATTCAGTCCTTCCACCCAAGTTACAACAGCCATCTCCTCCGGGGCCCCGGCACTGGAAGTCTCCACTCCTGCGTGCCCAGATTAAAGGTCCAGCTCAGCTTAGGTGCATTGCGGTGGACAGAGGAAGCAAGCAGTCGAATTCAATGTGAATGGTAAAGCAAGCTTCAACTTTATTGAAAGAAATCACACCTCATATAAGCACTCACTATAAATATGCACACTAATCATACATCTATTGGATTCATCTAAAACGTTACATTATAATATCCCAGCCCCTTGTGGCATTTCAGGTATGTCACATCCTCCTTCTTCTGGCTTGCTTTTTTTCCAAAGGTTGTTTACCATCATAACCAAGGCCGTTCTGTACCTCAGTTTCTCCCTTTGTTAGCATAACTGTGCCCTGAATCTCCTTCCTTGTTAGCATAACTGTACCCTGGGTTTTTTCCTTCGTTTACATCAGATGGCTGCCATCAGCTCCTGCACAGATCCATGACCTTGTTCTGCAAGCCCTTCTCCAACAGTGCATCAAGGCTTTGCTTAAAATAAATGCAACTGTGAAGACTCATATTGGCTTAGAATCTCCCTGAGTCAAATGCACACCTGTGAGAGAGAACAGGAACATACATAAAAGAGCACTTGTAAAGACATTTATAGGTAATTATTTGACAGAGAATGAACAGAAGTTTGTTTCCAAGATTACAGCACAGCTGTGTAAGGAGTCTAACAGCACTGGGTACTGCCAATTAGATGTTTCAGACACCTCCTCTGCAGAAGTTCAATGAAGTCAGCAGTGCCAGCTTCTCCATCCGCAGAAATCCACGGTATGACCCCAGCAATGGGCATCACCATGTCAGTAAAAGAGTTTTGTACCCTTATAGCTCGTGCTCACTTCTTCCTGCCTTAAGGCAGCTTTATGTCAGTATGACTACTAGAGAATGAGAGCATGACTTCAGAAAAAGAATGCCAGCTAATGAAAGTGGCACAACTCACCTAGGAGCACGGCAGCTGCGAGGCTTCCTCGCTGCTAACTCAGACCAGGGGAACAGGCTCCAGCAGAGTCTTCCAGCCCCAAACTGGAACAGAGACTCACCGGCTGCAGGGACACACAGACACTCACGCCAAGAGACAGTTCTCTGACAAGCCAGCAGCTGCCTGACCAAAGCCAGGCTGCCCGAGGAACCTGCACGCAAAACCACATTTCAGGCGGGTTCTTGCTGCCCGTGTGTGCTCTGTAACTGGCCGCTGTGTCCTGAGCAGCCTCTGTCCCAGACAACACTCTTGCTGGGAGCAGGACATTGCACAGGCCGGACCAGGGTCATCGTGAGGTCAGGGACAGGCGCAGTTTATCCAGGATGAGGAAAATCCCACAGCCAGGCCACAGAGCCCTGAAGGGGAACGACTTAACACAGAGGCAGCGGCAGCAGAGGCTCAGCCTCTTTTGCAAACACACCAGGTGGAATCCACAGAGATACCTGGGCTGTGGGTAGGAGCAAAACACAATCCTCAGACATATCCTGGTTTGTCTGGTTTTGTGTCTGCATGACTTTAAAGTACACTGGAGTCAAATATTTTGAGCCATGATCAATCAGTACTTCAGAAACACACACAAATGACTTCCAAAAGTGTTTCCACACACCCCCCCCCTCCCCGTATCCTCCTAACAGCATCAGAGCAGTGTCAACAGACAGCAAGACAGCAATTCTCCAGTAAATAACCCCTCTCACGGGTATTTCTCTTCAGTCATATCTGAGGTGTTGTGTGCTCAGATGCTGTGTCCAAGATGCAGCTTTTCACGTTCCAGTGTAATGCTTTTGGTTTCTTCTAATGTATCTGTGGGCACAGCTCACTTTTTATATATTCCCATAACTACAGAACTGGCACATTTGTGAGCTGTTCAGAAAAACAGGGAGTAGTAGATAGGCCACAGGCAAATTTGTTAAATAATGTAAAACAAAATTCTATTTCTCCTTGGAAATATCACATCCTTATGTGCAGTCACGGTCTAGAAGGGAATTCAGCTTAGTGCCTCTTGAGAAGGGGATTATTTTCTGAAGTGCCCAAGAGATGTAACAACACACAGAGATGCAATTTGAAGAGGTAACTCACCCATCCGTTTAACCACTCCTGTTTCATTCTCTTAAATGCTTTACAAAATCTCCCCAAAGACAGAGATCTCTCCTGCCTTTAGACATGTGAAAGCTGACGTGTCTTTTTAACTTCTGTCGGAAGGGACAGGCACTCCTCAGAAGCAATCTGTCCCACGTGCTCTCATACTTAGCACATCCTGGGCCTGGGCAAAAATTCACTTTTCTAAATTTGTTTATGCACACAACCAAGGGGAAATTCAACTGGACACACTTACCTTCCTCCTTTCAGAGAGGCCAAAAGTAATTTAAACCACCCTCCAAAGAAGGATTGATTACACCTGTTCTTCAGATAAGGGGCAGCTGTTCTCCACTGCATCCAGTACACCACTTCTGCCGCTCTTTTCAGTCTTTCCCACAAGGTGTTGGGAACAAGAGCTGGACGTTTTCACTTCCTCCGCAATCACAACTGCTTTGACACCCCCCCCAGACCTCTCCCACCTGCACGCCGCCCTCTGATTCCACGGCACACCAGGGTTACACTCACCTCCCTGCCCGACCATCACTACTCTCCAAAGGCCACCCCATGCTGTTTAGCTCCTATGCCCCAGTTTGGGATGAAAAGCAGGAGCAAAGAAATATTGCTAATAGAAACATATTTAAATTTAAAAGGCTTTTGGATTAAG